TGGATTTTTTTGTTCGTCTTCCGATTTCGTAGTGAGCGGCTCCTTCGACTGATTTTAGTTATTGGTGGAATTTTTTGAATTGGTCTTGGATCCATTTATCCAGGTAGGGAATTCCAGTGTCATTATGGAACTGTATTGTCTGAAGTTTTTTCATTTTTGTTTGGGAGACAGCAGACCATACAGGACATGCGTTTGTTATTAACGGTCTTATGATAGATGTATATATTAAAAGTGAACATTTGATCTGTAGTGTAGAGCTATAATTAATTAGAGTGTGTAGTAGTCTCATCCTAGTGTATGCTTGGTTTAGTTTCTTGTTAATATGTATTTTCCAGGTTAATATTTCATCAAGAAAAACTCCAAGGCATTTGATTGCCTGATCCTTGTTATTCCATATTATGGTTTGTTATTTATTTTTATCTCGGTTGGGTTCGTATATCTTTTTAAGGTGAAGATCTTTGCTTCGCTTTTGGCGGGATTTAATTTTAGTTTCCATTTTGCAAACCAGTTTGATATTTGGTCTAGCGAATTTTGTAGGTCTATGATAGAAGTTTCAAGATTCTTATTCTGCGTTATGATAGCAGTATCATCTGCGTACATTGCTAAATGACATTCCTATAGCTTTGGGATATCATGACAGAAAACGTTGAACAGTATGGGTCTTAGGACTGATACTTGTGGGATTTCAGCTTTTATTGGGTGTATTTTAGAAGTATCAGTGCCTATTCGGATTTGGAAGGAGCGGTTTGTGATGAATGATCTGATTATATTATAAAGATAGGTTGGTAGATTTATTTTAGCTAGTTTTTGAAGGAGGCCTTGGTGCCAGACCTTATCAAAGGCCTGTGCGACGTCGAGGAAGACCGTGGATGTATATTCTTTTTTTTCAAATCCCTTTAATATTATTTCGGATATTCTTTGAAGTTGGTGACATGTAGAGTGTAGGGGTTTAAAACCAAATTGATGGAGTGGAATGATTTTCAGGTAGGGTTTCATTTTGCGGAGCATTATTCGTTCTAGAATTTTGGAGAGAGCAGGGAGTAAGCTTATTTGTCTGTAGCTTGACGGTGAGTTTTTATTTTTTCCAGGTTTGTGAATCGAGATAATTATAGCTATTTTCCAGGTGTTTGGGAAATACCCAATTCTGAGCATTGAGTTGAGGAGGCTTGCTACTACGTTTAAACTTAATACAAATAAATTAGACAATAAATCAACAAACTTGATAATCTTTTAAATCAAAATTTACTTCATAGGATCTACTACAGTGGCGCCAAAAAAATATGGAAAAGGGGTAAATACCCTAGAACTTTTTTAAGTAGTGGGTGGATGGCTTAACAAAGCTAGGTATATTATTGTTATTATAGTTATTATAACATATTCTATAATATTATGTAATTACTAGATAGTAAATACTCATAGTTCACAGGTACACTATACTTGAAGTTTAATTATGATTTTTAGTGAGTGAATAGGTATCTATAAGTAGGGTAACCCCAGTGTATAAGAGGTTTGGCGCCACTGATCTGCTGGATGCATTATCTAATTTATACTTTAAGAACAACTATAAACAGTGGCGTAGTTACGGGAAGGGGGGTATAAAGGGTTTCCACCCCCCAGATTTTTTTTTTAATAATATTTTTAACTATTATTTATTAATATTTACATATTATAGTAAAATATTTTAATTTTACTATTATTAGGTATATATTAAAAATTAAGTAATAAAATAATTTTTATTAAGTACAGGACATAAAAATAATACCATTTTAAATGTAATATTACTATATAGGACATCGTATTAAGATATACCAAGATTATGAAAATAGGGGGGGGGCTCCGGAAAATTGTATCTACGCCACTGACTATAAATATATACTTGTGAATTAGGTACAAACCAACAAAATTAATAATATTACTCTAAGTAACTTACAATGATTTAATGGAAGTTAATTTTAAATAAATAAAATTGTAATCAGCATCTATTTTAAGAGTTCGGAATGTATTATACAAGGAAGAAAGGAGAAATAAAATGTTTAAATAATTAATTTAACCATATTGAATAAAATTATTTTGATCAGATTTTTTTTATTAATATATATATATATATATATATATATATCATTAAAGTACAGTTAAAATTTTTATAACATTATTTATCATACAATAAATCACAAACCTTAAAGTATTATATTTAATGAATAATTTCAAAGCCACAATGTTTTGTTATTAAAAACAAAGGATATAAATAATGCTAATCAAGTACAATAATGTTTGAATTCTAATAAAATAAAATATTTTGCAACTAAAATATTGATCAATAGCAGTCTGTTGGTTATTATTGCTTTAAAAATAATATAAATAACTAGTTTTTAATTACTCGTTTAAAGCATACTAAAACATTTTCTAATTAATTAAATAGAACAATTATTTATTATTAATTAAAAAATTCAAAATTTCATGTTTTCATGATCATCAACTTTTTTTTATAGGTAAATAGTTAAATTGAAATTCAAAAATGTAAATATCATAATTAAATTTGAATTATTTTCATAAATATATATTAAGGTGAAAGTCTACAAAGTAATACATGTGACAATTTTTACAAATAATAAGTAATTAAGATATTTATCAGTATTTGTTAACATTAAAATGAATAATTAACTTTAATAAATTACAACAGGTAAGTTTTCGTGGCAAGTTGAATAATATAGTAATCTATTACTTTTATAAAAATGTAATGATTTTTACTTTATTACTTTTTACTTTATAATTATAAACTAAACATTTTCATATAGTGACATATTTTGAAGTTTAGGGCATTATTTTTTAAATGTTCCGATTATACCAGTTTCAAAGTAATTGCTCAATTAGATATAACTTTACAGCAAATATATTTTCTCTTAAACAGCAAACTGATTATGAGCATATAATTATATGTTGGTTGATGGCCTTATCTCAGGTTCTTAATTTATAGAAGTCATTATCTAAGACAATATTTGAATTCACTTGACCTCTGCTTGACTACGAGATTTCCACTAATTAATCATTACCTATTTATAAGACAAAATGAGTGAAAAAAAAGATATGAAAATAAAATGTTTTTATTTTATATTCCAAGTAAAATAAGAACAGTATCCTAAAAAAATTAAAAGATAAATATGGAATATTCCTTTGCTAACACCAAAATTGTGAATATTAACCAAAATCAATTGTAGACTTTCACCTATATATATATATGTAATTAAAATATACGAAACATATTTGATTGAAATTGCACTTAACATAAATCAAGTTAATATTATAACAATATGTATTTTTGTATCTATTGATGATTAAAATTATAAAACAAAATAATAATGTTTTTAACAATAAAAGTCATAGTATTAAGTCGTATTACAAGATAGGGGTACTACACAGTTCTTAAATAAATATATTTAATATTTAATAAAGTAATAAATATTAAATTTTGAATGTTAAAAAGAAATGTGAATATTGTATACTAAACTTTCTTAAAACAGTAAATATTGATTAAGCATTCATTCAATTTATAACAAAATAACAGCCCTAAATGAGCAGTATACTGTACATACTCCAATTTCAAACCATGGAGTTATTCATTTACATTATCTTATTATTCGAGTAATATAACTACTAAGGAAATTATTTAATTATTTTAAATACAACCATTTAATAAAACTAAGGTTTAGTTATGCTTTAAAATATAAATTAATTAATAATATACCATACAATTTTACAAGTATTTTTTGATTAAATACAAATTTGGCCACTCAATTAAGTTTTATTAGATTCAAGGGTTATTCTAATACACTAATAATAATTGACTAATTGATTTTCAAAGTCAGTATTCAAATTATGCTTATAATATTAAAGGTTTTACACCAAATATACCTTTGGTCTAACCTTAAATGATTTTAATATATTTTATATTAAAAATGTTTTATTTAATATAAACAACAACTCAATTGTGTTATCAAAAGTCTAGTACATAGCCCATAGTTTTTAATCAATTATATTAGATAAAGTTGGTTTGAAAAAGTTTATAACACAATCATTGTAAAATTAAAAATTGTATAATAGTTATAAATGTATTTCTTATTTTTAATCAAATAATAAATGGTAAAAAATAAAAAATAAAGCATAATTTTTTAAATAAACTATAGTACATTTGATTATAGATTGTAAATCATATCTTCAGGTTGGAATAGAAATGTTACAATATGTTATAATATGTTACATAACATATTATGTATAATATTAAGTCAAATTAGTCAATGAAAAAATTAATTTAATTATTAATTTAAAAATTAAATATCAGTAAATTTTTTAGAGCATATACAGTAAAACACACAGTACAGTTGTACATTTGAATATTAATAAAATTTCCAGTTAACAAAAGTTTTAAATTTAAATTTTAAAATTCTATGTTATTGATAAAAATTATTAATTCTTATTTTACTGAAAGTAATTTCTAGTTACTAGGGCAATCAATAATATTATTTCTACACAGAAAAGAATAGACGATAAAAAAAACAAATATAAATAGTATCAAGTAATCAAGTCTTTGATATTAAAAATCTGTGAACAGTATGAATTAATAAAAATAATATATATTTTTACGTATTGACAATGACTATTATTTATAGATAATTGTCAATGAAAACAGCTTAAAATATAACTCATTAAAAATTAAATGAGTTGTATAATTAGACATATGTTTTAATATTTTGGGCTATAATACTTTTTTGATTCAATATAATTTATTAGTCTTGTAAATTGTAACATAAAAATAAGAAAATAACATTTAATTCATTTCAGAAATTTTTTTTAAAAATAATAAAATTTAACAACAAAACCAGAAATAAACTTATTAACATAAAAGATAAAACTATTATAGTTAAAATATATTTTCAAAACATATAATATCACATTAGATAAAATTATGTTAAATGAATGAAATATATCTTAGTTTGTTGAATTTTCAGAATAAATACTTAACCGAAGCAGTCACATATTATTACTTAAGAAGTAATAAATGTTATTAGAGAATAAGTGCTTACTAAGTCACTGATACAATTTTGGTATATAATTTACATAAGATAAATTTATCTTTGTATCAGTAAATAACTAAGTACTCTAAAACTCAAATTAAATTGAATTAACATAGCCTAAAATTAAAAAAAAAAAAAAAAAAAACTAGATAGTATATTTGGTGCTGATAGAAATCATTAAATTTTTTCAACAAAACTTGATGGGAATAATCCACTTTTACCAGTTCTTAATAATGTACCTCTATACCATCCATCTTGTCTAATTTTATGTACATATAAAATATCACCAACTCGTAGTTCTAGTTCATATTCACTATTTGGTGGATATGCAACAATACATCTACACCTGAAAAATGTAATAAATATAATGGTAAAGTAATTGTTATCAGTATAATATAATTTCTGATTCAATTTACATATTTTGTTGAGCACGTGAGTTTTGTTGTTTTATTTTTCGATCATGTGGCTTGATATCTATTGAAATGCCATTATTTGTATCTAAACTATGTGATTTACGATGATGAATTAAAATTGATGATCCATTTGGTTGGGGTTCACTAAAAATCAAAATATTTATTTAAAATATGTACTTGCATTTTTACTTTTTTTTAAATACATGAACCTATTTAAGCAAAACTATATGGAAGTTTAATACTATAAGAGCAAATTTAGTAATTGTATTTTTTTAAGGAATAAATATACTTATCAATGAGGCACAGGGATATTTACCAAAATACTTCTATAACAGTATATGTAAATTAATAAAGTAAAAATAAATATCATTAGAATACATGATTCTACACTTTTTCAACACAAACATTTTATTCACATCAAAATAATAATCTAAAATAGTTAAATATTTTCATGGTGAGGCCAAGTAGTTCATCTAATACATATTAGATTAAACTATGGTAAAAGTTGAAATAACAAGTACAATGTACTCTTTATTACCCGTGAGTGGAGGGAAAATTATTCATAGTTTCTATGAAATAAACCATGTACAGAATTTGGTACTTACAAAAAAAGTAATGTTTTTTATAGATAATACATATATACACACACATAATTAAGGTTAGGTTAGTAGTTGAAACTATAACTTGTTACTGATATTTTTGTTAAAAAATAAATACTATATACATAATTAATATTATACACATTTTTAAATAAGTTGTTCTTATTCAATTTTCCTAAAATACCATATAGCATAAGATTTAATATTTTTAATTATATATTCATTGAATTTTAATTGAAATTTAATGGATTATTCACTAATATTAGCCACCCTATTCGATGTATAGTAGCAGTGGTAATTCTATCAGGGGGGGGTTAATGAGTAGATTGTCCTTAAAATTCCTTGACCTATATTATATTACAACAAAAACCTGATAATATATCTGTTATATATTATTTTAATATAAGTCCAAAGAATATCTTTTATTCTGTAATATTACATGAAATACATTTTTAAACTTAATCAACTATTTTTTTTATGACTACTTTTTTTAGGGATTGTATTGAATGTGAAAAATATTTCCCCCACCTCCAGTAATTATTCAAGGACCACTACTGGATATTAGAGTACACTGTAGTTAAATTAATAAAATCAATAATCACTTACCATGTGCACTTATATAATATAAAATATATGAAATACAGAATAGAGGTTTATTTGGTGTGGTTTAAAAAAAAATGAATGCAATTAAAAAAAAATTATTATTTAGTAATAATATAAGTAATGATTTATTTTATTTTTACTATTAACTTTTATTTTATTTATTTTAAATTAAAATGAAATACAATGATATTATTAATAAATATAAATTACAATTTTAATTAAAATAGAAATTCAACATAAACTAGTGACTAATGACAATCTATTAACTTTTACAATAATATATAACAAAATCAACTAAGAAAATTAGATTATTAATTAAATAATTTCACCGAAATTCTAAATATTTACTTTACTTACTTTTTAAAATTATGATTTCCTTTGACTTTTAATGGAAGTTGTTCAGAAGTCCTTTGTATGGCATCTACGTTCAATAATTTTGATGGACAAGAATCAGATCTTTAACGAGTGATGCAAAAGCAAAAAAACAAAAAAAAAAAAAAAAAAAAGAACAAACCAGAAGTAAGTGCTATGTACACAAATAATAAAGCGTGAATGGCTGCCATACACTAAATAAACAACACAAATAATATAATACATCAAAATCACCTTACCTAGTATGAATGGGTTGAGTTAGTGCGACAACAGCATTATTAGATGTATTATCATCGAACACAGGGTTATCCATTGAATACATAGGTGGAGGAGATTTTCTAATTTTCATATTCGAAAAACTACGCATGACTGAGTTGGTAAGAAAACATTTTTTTCTAACACGTTTTTGGGCCAACTGAAATAATAAAATATTAATTGATTGAAAATATAATAAGGTTCTAATAGAATAGTTACATTATCTGGGCTCAAAGAATGGGATGGAGAAGCAATGGATGTAACACCAGCATCAGTATTATTCGCCCCAACAGTTATTGGATCTTTATCAAGTGGTGCAGTCGTAGTTTTACTTAAATTTGGTGAAGCTATTAAGGAACAATAAATTGTAATCATTTTAAATGTTTATGACTAGAGGTCGGATTAATATTTTCTTAAAACCCTTCAAATATGATGTTTATATGTCATTTAAAAAAAGCAATATATTCTCTAAATATTCTTTATAAACACCAAATTTATGATGTTTTATATCTTTAAAAATACAAATATTCTTTCAATATTCTGTAAAATATATATATATATATATATATTAATTACTTAGTTTAAATGTATCAATTACTAAACATTATTATTAATTTGATTTACAATATTTTTGAAAAAAAAAAAAAAATCGATCTTAATGCAAATTTTAACCGTACGTAGTTTACTCCTAATATTTAGTGATTAATTTTTATAACAATCTAGAAGGATATAAGAATAACTACATATTCTTAATATTGAATTTATTGATCAATATTATCAAAATGCTGATGTATATAATACGTGTATGGATGTGCAGATAAATAAAAGGTAATATAAATTATTTTCTTTGAAAAAAATATTTACAATAATAAAAATGTTAATAAAATATTCTTTAATGTTCTATAACATATTAAATATTCTCTAACCCCTAAAATATAATTTTTTATGCAAAATAAATTTTTTTCTGTAAATTCTGTGTTTCAAGAATCGTAAAGATATCTCATTCCTATTTAATTGCATAGACTTGAAACAAATATGTAAAATCATACAAATCCAACCTCTATTTATGACAAAGGAAAAAAAATGAATTTAATAATAATAATATTACAAAATTAAATCAAATATAATACCTGACTTACAACACACAGACTTGATGTTGTGAGAAGGAGCTGATCGTACACGAGATGTTGATGGCATTTCAGACAACCAACATGATACTCGGTTATGTACGGAAGGACTATTGCTACGAGGCGGTAGTTCAGGTGGTGGGTATAAAGGTAAATTATCATCTATATCACTTTGAAAACTACAATCTATAAATATAAATTTATGGATTGAATAAAAATAATGTATACTAAAAAAAAAGTATAAATCAACAATTAAAACAATAATATTAAACATTTCCTGGTAAAGAAACTGATAAGATATACTATTAAATTTAGCACACGAGTCATATGCTATCTACCAAGAAAATCATATCTACACATATGTATTAATGCCTGTTGGTTCACAGTTGTTCATATTTTTTTTATTTTTTTTTTTTTACAAAAATGTTTTTTTTTTATATCTTGTAGGAAACATTCAAAAACATTTTTTTGATTGACGGATCTCCACCATTCTTCTTGCAATTGTCTTTCAAGATTGGTCATTTCACGAGTTCTGATTCCATACTTTACTTGCATTTGTTTCCATAAGCATTCAATAGTCTATGTTTGACCACCTGTACGCGAATCTATAGTTTTTACTGTAGTTAAATGTTTGGTTTATAGTAGATAGTATACAACACGTATGCCGTAAATTTCACTAAATTAGTGGGTAGTTGGAAATTTAATTAAATAGAATAATTTTATCAATAAAATAATACAATTTCAACTTTCTTATATTTTAGTCTATTTGAATTAATGTAAATTGTATTATAAAATACAACAAAAATAAACAATACTTAGGTTAAGTACTTATTTTAAGAATATTAGGTTTTAACATTTTAAGCAATGTTGTGCCATCTTTTTTTTTTTTGTGTATCATCAATAAAAATGTAATGATCATTGTTTTTACTATTGAATATATATAAAATAACTAAATACATTTTTACAAAGTGATTAACCAAAAAATCATAAAATTACTTATTTTATTGATATAAATGTAAATAATTGCTATATGAAATTGAATAAAAAATATTTAAATATTTATTTTAGTTTTTTTTTTTAGAAAAACTACTGTAATAACTAATGATTTCATAAAACTTTTGGTACAGATTATCAACTCAAAAGTATTAAAATAAAAACAAGAATAACAAAAATAATATTGTAAAATCAATATATTTCTTGTTTCATTTAAAATCTAAAATGGAAATGACAATATATACTAAATAGCAGATAATAATATGTTAATAAGATAATAAAGATTAAATTTTCAATAAAATAATTCTTACCATTTGATGATGATTGATCTTCTTTTAATTCATGAACAGAAGATGAATTAGTATTAGATTTACTACTGAGTAAACGCACAGATATCCTAAAAAATATAATTTTTTAAAAATATTTCTTTTATTGATTCAAATATAATTTACGTAAAATAATAATTAGTTACTTTGCAGGTGTTACATAGTTTCCTGGAAATACACCAGAACAGTTTGATTTTAATGAAGTTCCTTTATACCAGCCATCTTGGCAGCATTCAGTAACCATATATAACTGTCCACGTTTTAACTCAAGTTCATCAGCTTTTTGAGGTTTGTAAGGATACAATGCAACATGCCTTAATTTTAAAATAAAATAAAATATATTAAATATTAAGTAAATAGTTAAACAATTTAATTTATTATATTAGTATTTTTATATTAAGTCTAAATCAAAATTAAATTTAGAACAAAACAATTAACCATCATCAAATTTTTTTTTTAAGTAATTAACTAAATACTTAATAAACATACCAATTGGAAATTACAACTTATATATCTATATATATATATATATAAAAAAAACCATTAAATGATATATAAGCAAGTGAAAGACCATAGGCTATTTAGAAAAAAAATGTATTATAAAAATTGATAGTATATTTAAAAAATTTAAATACATTTTTCAGTTATTTTTATATTTTTCTAGTTGGTTTAATCTTTTTTATGTTAATTATACATATATAATACACTTAAACTTCTTATTATAGTATTATGTCTTATTAACTGAATACTTTACTATTAATGTATTTAAGTATTTTCATTGAATAAATACAAAAAATATTAATATAAGTTAATTTTTATTGACCAGCTTGTTGTGTCTATGTTCACAATTAAGAGGTTACAACAACCACATTACATTTATATTTTAAAGAATTTTAAGAATGTGTTAAATTTGCAGATAAATTCTTATTAAATGTGTAATAGTATGATAACATAAAAATATTTTTGATAATTTAATAATTATTATAAATATAACCATGCAAAATAGAAATTATTTAATAAAATATTCTGTGTAACAAGAATCAAATTTATAATTATTTATATTACATAGTTAAATACTAAAATGATAAATTAACATACATTTTTGAAAATTAATATCAAAATATCTACATTAAAAACAAAATAAATACAATAAATCTACATACTTTGCTGGTAATTGAATAGGTACTTTAGATCTTAAACTCTGGGTAACTATTGGTCTAGAATGACTTCTAAGACTTCCATGACGATGAAGTTTAGAATCTTTCACTCCATTTATTGCCTAAAATGTAAATATTATTTTATTTTACAAATTATATTATTAAAAAAAAATAAATAAATAAATAAAGAAAAATATTAATTATACAATAATATAAACTTATATTTTATATCATAAAACAAATACAGATTTTTCACTCATAAAAATCATAGATAACTGGATTTATAAAGTGTATATTAATTTAAAAAGTAACAGGACTGAAAAGTCAAACAAAGTTACAAACAAGTTAGATTAAAAAAAAAATTCTGTTAAAAACCAATTCTCAGTACACTTGGAGTCCATATTAAAAGTTGGCAATAAACTATCTACCTTTATATGTAAAACCATTGTTTATAAAGACTAATATTTACTAGTAATAGTATACTAATAGTATACATGATCAACAGTACAACTCATAAAAATGTCATTAATCAGTAGAATCTAAGAAACCTGCTAAATCAGCAAGGTTATTTTATACAATTGTTATGAATAAATAAATATTTAAATAGTTATAATTTTTCTAAAGCAAAATTTGACTTTGAACAATTTTGATTTCCTTATGAAATTATGAAAATATCACTAATCAGAAAAATATAACCAAATATTTACAACAAAGCAAACAGATAATTGTATTTTATAAAATCTTTAAAATTACATTTTTTAACAAATGTCAAAATAAGTTTAGTAATTTAATAAACTTTTGAGTAAAATATTAATATTTGTTAATATTTTATTTAATTAGTATATACAACTTTGAGGTAGCTAAAGAGATTAGAAAAAAAAAAATTGTATGGACACACTTTAGTGTGACAACTGGACACAATTTATTCAAAATTTTTATTTTTATCAATATTAACAATTTAAGTTATAAAAAGTACTTAATAGTAAATTTAATAAATTGCAACATTATTTCTAATAAATACTAAAAAATATAATAAATATATTAAATTTACATTAAGGTGCATTCAAGTATTAAGTCAGCATATTTATTTTAGCATTTTTCATCCCATTTCCCCTCTCCATGTCAATGTCAGTCAAACAGTAAATAACCCCCTCTTCTAATCTGAAGTAATTATTTTGCTTCTTTAATATGGCCCCCCTAAATTCTTTTAATATTATTAAAAAAAGGGTTTCTTACAAAATATTAAATTTCCAAAATAAAAAATACAAATACATCTTTTAATTTAATTTGACATTTTCATTTGTTTTTTGTTCACGGATTTGTTAACCACTGCGACATATTTTCAATAACTGTAGATCCAAAAATGAGTTTAACACACTATTTTAGTGGGATCATAATGATGAATCTGATGTATATAGTTGATGCTGACATTGGATTTGAGAATTATACCCTTTAAGTACTTTTAAATTTCTTAAAACCCCCCAGGATTGCTCACATAATACTTGAATGCTCCCTTATTATTGTATAAAATTAGTATTAATGAATTTACCTGACTGGATTTATTTTCTAAATTAGTATTTGGAGTGGAAAATACAGCAATATCATCTTGCGATAAATTCTCAGCTGAATGTCTAAAATTCAACAAAGTAAATTAATATATGAAGCTATAAATTCAAATATATTTGTTTCTTAAATTATTTATATTATTTACCAATTTATTATTTGTTATTTATCAAATTTATTAAATCTGATATAATGGTATACTTATTTTAAATATAATATTGAAATAATTGATTTGATTCACAGTACAGAGCAAAATATAAGTGGTTCTAATATTCTAGTGGAAAAACATTAGCGAAACCACTATTCTCTGTTATCATTAGAAAACAGGGATCTATTACACGACTTTATCTTCTCTTAAAAAAGGAGGGTAGTGTCATATGCATAGTAATACATATTAAGATAATAGTATCATATGATTATAAATCTACCCATGTATGGTAAGCGTTGACAAAGACCTTAAGATTGTTTTAATAAGCAAAATTATAAAGAAAAACAATAAAATGTAGTAAAAAGAAACTACTAAATTTAAGAGCTTTAATGGTTAATGTCACTGAATATTGTTTAATTATTCTAAAAGAGCACAGCATAAAAGAATAGTTGATCATTCCTCTAACAGCCATTTTTGGTTAAACCACATTCACTAGTAATCAGAGAGGTGAGCATCAAAGTACTTAGTGATTTGGTGTGCCATACCCTTATACCTAACATATATTTGAAGCTTAAAAGTAATAGTCTTATATGTTAAAATCTCTTAACAGGAAAAAAAAATATTTTAAACAAAAGAAAAAAGGAAATATAGTAGTTATTATTTATATCCATCTATTTATTTTCATCAGTTATTCTTATCGTTCTATATTATAACATATATATATAAAAAATATTATATTTTTTTTTAATATTACAACACATAAAATATTGTAATACAATATGACAATTTTAAATACTTATATTTTTATTTATTGTTATTTTGAATATATATATTTTAATAGTTTTTTTATAAAGAAATATCTTAAATTAAATTTCTTAATTAATTAAAGTTATATTTAAATTAAAAAATGTATAAATAAATTTGAATACTTATTAATATCTAATAGTTATTAAGTGTTCATCATTCTTATATTCTTAAATATATTAATAATAAAAGTTTAATATAGAGAAATATTCTTTATAAATGACTATATAATTTATTTTACTAGACAACAACTGCACATAATAAATAAAAATATAACTGTGTAATATTAATACTTTAATAATAATAATATAATATGATTAAAATTATTATACTTATATATATATTTTACGAGAATAACCTGTGTGTGTATCACTATGTAAGGTCCCCCATTGGTGTTGAGTGAGTGCTCAACTCGTTGATTTTTATCATTATTTATTATTTGATAAGCAAATACGATTGAAACCAATACCAAATCATTTATATTTAAATATTTTAAAAATATAATTATGAACATTTTACCTGATGATAAATATTTCTAACAATAAAATTAAAAATTTTCAAAATACTTAGAGGTGAGCGCCACACTCACCACAATATCAAGACGAGTTAAAAAGAATATATTAAGAAGATGGCATTTTCCAATGTAAATAAATTATATATTTGCAATACAAAGAATAAACTCTTACAAATTTAATATTATTGGAATAAAAATCTATTTATTGTAAAATAAAAGCCATTAAAATATTTTGTTTCTTACCTTTTATTATTTTCTGATAAATGAGAACCCAATGAAAGAGGACCAATACCATTTGTGAAACTATGTCGTTTTGGTGGATCTGGATTTGATGTTGGTAAAGAACGATTTGTTGCAACATCAACAAAAGGAGCCCGGGAAGGTGATTGAGTTGGAGAACTAGATGTGTCAGATGGAGAAGTTGTGTTGGGAGATGTAGATGTGGTAGTGGTAGAAGATGAGGATGAAGTATTTTCAGATGTAACCTTTGTATTATCCAACACATGTTTGGCTTCATCTGTTACAATACTTTTTATATTTGTTGATTGACAAGCAGCTGACAGTTCCACTGGCAATAAAGGAGTAGCTTCTTCAGGAGTAGGAGGAGCAATTCTACTTGTAGGTTGTGAGCTAGAAAAAATTAACAATAAAAATAATTAATATTAGATTAAAAATTTAAAAAATACTTACTTAACAGAAAGTTTCATTAATGCTCTAGCTATTTGATTTAAGTCGACAAACGATAAAGGAAATATACCAATTCGAGTGGCAATTTTTCCTTCAGCCCAATTTTGATCAATCCTCCTTAAAACTGTAATTATATCACCCTGAAAAATAATGAATAGTTAAAAATTAACTAAATTACATGGATTGGAATAGATATTAATAATTAATTTATTATAATTCTAAAATGTTTGTTAAAATAATTTAAAATATAAAACTTTTAAATATTATGGATTTAATACAAGGTTGATAAAAATATATATTACATATTAATAATTTATATAATTGAAAAATAGGGGGAAAATGAAAATGAAAAATGTCTATGATTAATTGAAAAATAGTATGATTATCATTTGACTATACCAATTATCATCTAAACAATAAGTCATCTTAACAATAAGTAAATAAAATTATAGTAGCTGAATCCAAAAAAATTATTAAGTTGATTGTTCTGATTTAGCTTTTCAAATGAGCATAGACATTTTTTTTTTTTTGCAAATATATTATTATTTATAGAAACATTTTTTAGTAGTATTGTGTGATCATATTACTTTTGAAAACGATAAGCATCCTTCGTCATCCTCTTTGTTCATTTTAAAATCATACAATGCTTTGCATTGTGGTATATGACTAGGAAGTGTTGTTGGAAATACCTAATATTAATATACAATACATATATTAATTATATTTAACATTTAAAATATATATTAAAAATGTTAAGAAAAACATGCAATATATGACTTAATGAGTAGCTGAAATCACTAATAAGTGCTGCAATTAAATACCTATGGTATAACTAACTTATGATGTGGGACCATCCAGAATTTTAGGCATAGAGCCATGTGTTCAAATCATATGTTCCAATAATTAATAACAAAATTTAACTTACATCACCACTGACAGCCAATGGCCATATTTGTTAACTTTTTTATAAATCAAAATTAAAAACGAGATAGTACTCAAGAAAGTATATCTATATAATAAATGACTAATTTAAAGCATTCAGTTGTTTATATCCTATTTTTAATAATTACGAGAAAAAAAAATTACTATAAAATACAAGTATTAATTCTAGATTAAATCAAAAAGCAATGCTAAACAAATATGATAGTGTATATTATAATATTATTATATATTTAGTTTAATTATGAATTCATGAATGATTCAAAAACTAACCTGTACATATGATAAAGGGAATATGCCAATAACTCCATTTGCCTCTCCCTGATACCAATTAGAATCAACTTTTTGGCGTAATATAATCATATCTCCTTTTTTAAAACTTAAATCTCTAAAATGAATACATACATATATTATTAATACATATTATACATATTATTAGTTGACTATAACTCTGCTTTAAGTGTAACTTTTATTATACATAATTTTATAGTATAGACAGTAAACAAATAGTTTATATGTAGAAATTAATAAACAATTAGACTGGAGTATTATATTTGTAAAGTACTACAAGTTTCGAATTAAAAATTCATCATCAGGTATACACAAAGTTAATAAAATTAGGACTGAATATGAAAAAATAAAGATAATTTATTTTAATATGGGAGATTATTCAAAATGAGTTCTTATTAGACAGAGATATGTTAAGAAATATAAATACTTTGGTTATTATTATTTATTATTATTTAAAAAGTATTGATATAAGATATTATTTTTAAAATTGGTTTGTTTATTTAAAATATCATAAAAATTATTTTTCTTTATTTCACAGTATATGTTTAACTCTTCTAAAACTGAATCAATGTAAATGTTATCTATAGTGTTTAATATTTTTAAGTCTGTATTGATATCAAAATGTATATTAGTTTTTTTTTTTTTTATATTAACACGAAACAGTAAATATTTTAAAAAGATAAGTTTATAACAGTAATAAATTCAATACAAACAAAATACAAGAAATTATTCAATCATTAAATGAAAAATATTTCCAATATAATAATACATTTTATTCTCAAAAACAATTGGGATCAGAATGCCGAATATCATACGTATCAACTGCAGCAAGATAAACCCACACGTGTCGTGATCAGAAATTTACACCCAACAACTCAAACCAGCCTAATCAAATCTGAATTGGAACTTCGCGAATTTGAGGTACGTAACGTGACTAATGTTCTTCATAAAGTTCATAAACATCCATTACCAATGTTTTTCGTTGACCTGGAACCTTCCCCTTTATCAAATGATATCTATAAACTGACGTCCATGCTCCATACTAAAATTAAAGTAGAGGAGCCCTATAAACCTAAGATAATTAGTCAGTGCTTAAACTGTCAAGAATACGGCCACACGAAATCTTATTGTAACTACGTTACAATAATTGTAATTGTGTAATTGCGTGCGGTATGGTGATCACCACCAATCATCTGATTGTACCATTTCTCGAGATACCCCTCCAAAATGTGCGCTCTGTCATGGCAATCATCCAGCCAGCTACAGAGGTTGTTCAGTGTATAAAGAAATTCAACGACCTAAGAAGCCTTCTTCAAATAATGCTTTACTGTCTGATAATTCTAGATTTAAGAAAAACAATGTACAATTTAGCCACCCAGAAAACGATGCTCCCCCAAATAATGCTCGTACATACGCACAGGCTACCTTTAGCCAACGCTAAACACATCCTTCTCCTACCTCTGAATCTAACATTAATAATACAATGAATCTTTTTCTTGAGGAATTTAAATCTATTATAAACCCACTTATAGCTCTACTTACTAATGTAATTTCATCCTTGTTAGATAAAAAAAATGACTAATACCGCTACAAATAAATCCCTACTTGTTTTATTATTTAATGCTAATGGACTAAAAAATCATATATTGGAACTACAAACAGTGCTAAATAATAAACGTATTGATATAGCCTTAATTACAGAAACGCATTGTACCCCATACTCGCACTTAAATATACCAGGCTACAAGATTCATAAAGCCAATCATCCTGACAATACAGCCCATGGTGGTGTAGCTATCTTAGTTAAATCTTCATAAGTTTATCATTCTCTTCCAAGCTTCAGTGAAGATATTATTCAATCTTGCGCTATTCAAATTCATGTTAGTAATGTTCCAACCACAGTTGCAGCAATTTATTCACCTCCAAAGCATAAAATCTCCTATGACAACTTTTCAAATTACTTTAACACAATAAAAAATAATTTTATTACTGGTGGAGATTATAATGCGAAGCATCAGTTGGGGTTGTAGAGCAAACAATCCGAGGGGGAACATTCTCTATAATTTTGTAAATTCCAAAAAATTCAAAGTTCTTGCTCCTCCAAGACCTACTTATTGGCCATCATTCCCACATAAAAACCCAGACATTTTGGATATATTCGTAACTAAAACCCCATCAAATTTTCACTTTGAAGTGGACAATATCCTGGACTTAAATTCTGATCACTCGTCGGTCATTCTCACACTAAATGATTATCCTTCAATTAATACCGAGCCACTAAAATTGTTTCATCCTACAACTGATCGATACAAATTCCACGACCTGGTAAATCAAAACCTCCAATTAAATATTAGATTGAAATCCAATGATGATATAGATGAAACTGTATATAACGTAACAAATGTTATACAATCAGCAGCTTGGGCGGCCAACACAGCTAAAAATGATCATTATACTAACAACAATTCTAACAACAATTCAACAAAACCGACTAATATCCGTATCCTCATATCAGATAAGAGAAGAGCTAGAGCCCTCTATCAACGTACTCGACTACCCTCCCACAAAAAAATATATAATAAATTAGGTAACGATCTAAAAAAATTCTTAGCAAAAATCAAAAAACTTTCCTACGAAAACTTCCTGAATAATTTATCCACAAAAAATGGTAGTCTTTGGAAAGCATCTAAACAAGCACTTAATTTTAAAGTAACTACTCCACCTATTAAAAAATCTGATGGGAGTTTTGCCGTGTCCGACACAGAGAAAACTAATCTTTTTAAAAACCACCTGTTCGATGTTTTTCAACCTCACCAAGACATTCCATCTGCCAACTTAAATACTGTTCTTAGTTATCTTGATATGCCCTTGCCACCTTCTCTCCCTGTTAAAAATTTTTCACCGAGCGATATCAAATTTGCAATCCAAAAGCACACTCTTAGGAAGTCTCCAGGCTTTGATCTAATAACGGCCGAAGTAGCTAAATGCCTTCCTAAACGTGCAATCGTACTACTTACTTATATATTTAACGCCATACTCAGATTGTCGTACTTCCCGCTCTTATGGAAGTTCTCCAAAATTATACTTTTCCCAAAACCTAACAAGCCCCCTGATCTGGTGACGTCATATAGACCAATTACCTTATTACCTTTTTTCTCAAAAATACTAGAAAGACTTATACTGAGCCGTATACTTCCCCAAATTAGTGAAAAAAAAATACTGCCTAACTATCAATTCAGTTTTCGCGCACAACATTCAGCAATCCATCAAGTACATAGATTAGTTGACTCAGTCTCTTATGCTCTTGAAAAAAAAATGTATTGTTCTTGTATTTTTCTTGATATTGAACAGGCCTTTGACCGTGTATGGCATAAAAAGGACTGTTATACAAGTTAAAGTTCTTTTTGCACCCAACTTATTTTACACTACTTAACTCATACTTAACTGATCGTTATTTTCAAGTTCATTTTAAATCCGCATACTCCAACATAGCAAACATCAGAGCTGGGGTTCCACAGGGAGGCATCCTATCCCCAATTCTGTATAACGTATATGCTTCAGATCAACCAACCTCGCCTAACACGTTAGTGGCAGACTATGCAGATGACAAACTTATCATATCTATAAACGAAAGCCCTATTGTAGCATTGCATAATCTTCAAAATCATCTTTCCCTTATGGAAACCTGGTATAATAACTGGAGAATTAAGGTAAATCAAACCAAATCAAATCTTACAACTTTTACCCTTAAACTAGGACATTGTCCGGCAGTCACTCTCTTTGGCACTCAAATCCCGATTACTCCAACAGTTAAGTATCTTGGATTAACCCTTGACCGTAGACTCACCTGGGCCCAACATACACGTGCAAAAAGACTACAACTAAACCTACGACTTTGTATGCTCAAATCATTACTTGTTAATAACAAACACACAAATCTAAATATAAAACTTCTAATGTATAAATCCCTCATCAAACCCATTTGGACTTATGGTCTTCAACTGTGGGGAAATGCTAAAAAATTAAATTTAAATCGAATACAGGCTTTTCAAAATATTGCATTAAGGAAATTAACTAACTCCCCTCTTTACGTTTCAAACCATACCCTTCACTCAGATCTTAATATCAAAACAGTAAAAGAAGAAGCAATAACTTGCTATAAAAGATTCCACAACCGTCTAGCATCTCATTCTAATCCTCTAATTAAAGCTCTTTCATCAAATGATATCCTAGGCAATCCTCCAAGGCGCTTAAAACGCAACTGGTGTAGAGATTTGTTAATAATAAAAAAAAAAAAATGGTTAGTTATGGGTAAACCTTTAAGCGTTCTTTTATTTGATATATTCATGCAAAATTATGAAACAAATAACAAAATATACAAGCCATATATAAAAGAATATTATAGATATGTTAATAACACTTTAATTTTATTTAGAAGTTTATAAATAAAAAATATGAGTTTAATATTTATAGAAAACCTACCCAAACTTAATTATCAGTAAAAACTCAATATTATCTATAGTATAGCTTATAAGAATAATTTAAATTGAAATGTTATTAAAAATATTCATAAGCATATTAAAGAAAAAATAAAACACAACTCACCAAATTATATTGTTAACTATTGTAGTATGAAATATCAAAATAAGATATTTAACAAATTCGCTAAAATTCTAAACACGGATATTAATAATATAAAAATTGCTTTTAAAACTAAAAATAAATTAATCAAACAAATAAATAGAATTAAAAACTACACAAAAAATCCTTTAAAAGTGCTGTCATATATGAACTTCATGTAACTGTAATAAATTTATGTAAGCAAAACAAGTAGAAATTTCATAAGATATAAACATATTTCTAAAATAAAATTAAAAAAAGACTGTTTCTAATTCAAATTCTGCTAAACTTGTTTTAGAAAATAACCATAATATACATTTTGATATCAATACAGACTTAGAAATATAAATTCCCAAAATAAAATTTTAAATGAATATCTTATATCAAAACATTTTAGATAATAATAAATAATAAGAATCAAAGTATTTATATTTCTTAATATATCTCTGTCTAATAAGAACTCATTTTGAATAATCTCCCATATTAAAATAAATTATCTTTATGTAAAATGGCTAATTTTTTGCAATGTATGTTTTTCTTTAATTTATCATATTCAGTCCCAATTTTAATAACTTTGTGTATATCTGATGATGAATTTTCAATTCAAAATGAGTCTTACTTTAGAAGTATAATAATTACAAAGCCTTTTTATTTATTTATTTATTAATTTACGAGTATTATTAATTTATTAATTTTAATTTTATAGTTTGACATTAAATATAATTTAATATTTACCCAGGTTCTTTAGAAGAATAATCATACAATGCTCTTGCAAACATATTACGCTGATATGGCACCTAAAAAAAAACAGAATATAGTAAACATTTTCTAAGATCAAAAAAAAAAAATTATTTTATTTATTTAATTGACAAATATATGATCATCAATACTATTTTTTACCAAACTACTAAACTTAAAAATTATTAGTGCTGCTAATAACCATTAACTTATAGTTAAATTCTAAAAATATGAAACATGAAATTAAAGAAATCAACTTTAAACAAATTGAAGGTTTATAAAACCAATAAATAAATATAAATATTTTAAAATATTAAACTATATCTAATATATAATTAATGTAAACAATATATTAATAGGTTTATTGAAGGTAAGAATAATAATCTTTATAACATATTAACCTGTTTAGGTGTTTTATGTGGTCTTTGATCTGAGCATCCAACAGCTGAAGGTTTTTTGGGTGGTGATACAGTTGTACTTTTACTCTTCATACCTTCTAATATCCGCATGAGTAATACATTAGGTGGTAGTTCATCCACTCGACACTCAACTAGTGTTCGGCATTCTGGACATCGTAGCTCTTTGTGAGTAGCTACAATTTCATCAAGACATTTTTTACAAAATGTATGCTGACAAGAGAGTACTTTGCTCGATGTATCTAATCGTTCCAGGCAAACTGAACACTCAAGCAAATCATTCAAAAGCTTTTCGTCCATTATTGATGAGTTCTAATTGTTTAAAAGATCATATTATATCAACCTATATAAAAAAAACAAATTAAAATATAAAAAAGTTATTCTTTAAATCAATTGACAATCAATCTCGGGACCACCTACACACTACAAAACCCTCTTTAACATAAAAAAAAAAAAAAACCGGAGGAATTAATCAAATTTAACGTTATCTTATAATTTTTAGTCGACAGAAGTTGGAGCTTTTTATTTTGAAAGTTAAAATATGCTTACTCGATTTAATAATAATAACAATGTAATATTGTAATATTGGTTAAGTTTGATCAGAACGTTTTACCTTATCACAAGCTTTTGTCATCACGAAAACCCACTAAAAGACACCATCCATGAAATTAACTACAACTATTTTTCATCAATTGTGATATTACAGTTCAATTAAATTTAAAATGTTGAATTGAATAATAAATATAAAATGAAATGGTAGGTTTTAATATTATAATACCAAATTACAAAACCATAAAAATAAATTCGCACTTCTATCTTTAATCCCCACCTTAACCAGTTGCCATAAAATCCATCATCTTTCTGATCAGTGTAGCCAATACGATATACATGTGAAATTGCTTAAATTTATAAATTAGTATAAAAAATGAATTACACGAATTATAAATATATTAGGTAAAAAAGAAAAGCCCATCATAAACTGAGCCTTGATAAAGTCATTAATAGAGAATATCGTAGGTTTTTATTTTTTAGTGTTATGTATATAAAATGATGAATTCGGTATTCACCTACAGACATCTAAGTCATAGAACTAGTACAAATAATTTCGAAATAGAAAAACTTCCATAGCTAAGTAATTGAGAAAATTAGAGGGTAATGTCACTGCCACATGATGTTGGTTTTTTTTAACAAAATTAAATTATTTTTGAATAAGAATTTAAAATATTTTGTATTTTTAATTGATGTCATGAACCTGTTGTCTACGTTTATTATATTATTGCCTATAAGGATTCGTGAATGTTATTGTTGATGCATTTATTAATATGTCGAACAATAACTTCTAAAAAATTAATTTTTTTCTCTTAAAATATATAATAATTGAGTATCTATGCTTATTCCATTTATAAAAAAATAAAATCAAGACATTTTTTTTTTATATTCAGTTGCGATCTTATAGACTTTATACCTGACAATGATTTTTAATTCGAAACCGATCACAATAATAGTACTCCAGTCTAATCTTTTATTTATTATTTATTTATTTCTGTATAAAAAATGTTTATTTATTTATATACTAATTTAGGAGTGTTAACCATTTAATAATTTTTTTAATTCTAATTACATTTTTACATAATTAAAAACAACTTTTTTTTAAAAAAAAAATATTTATTTAAACGACAATGCTCTTTCTCAACACATTGGATGATCTTCCAAGTTATGGTATTACATCTTTTATATAAAATTTTGTAATCCCTTTCACTGCTTAAAAACATAAAACTTTTTATATCCCGAAACACCCACCATCCTTTTAAATTGAGACAATTGCGTTAATAAAGTCCTTTGTCACGTCACTGGCCATATACATTGTAATGTTCTTCTATTTTAAGAATTAAAATGAATCATTGAATAAATCATAATTTTTCGTTTCATCATTGTTTTTCTTGCAGCTTAATACTGTAGAATTTTAAAGTTTAATAAATCTTAAGTACATCGTTAAGATTAATGTAACTTGGCGATTGTTTACTTACGATATTTTGAATTGTTGATCATTTTTAACAATAATATTGATATTTAATCTATGTATATTTTATCTTTGGAATACTTGGATAAACTGCAAAATTCAGTACACTAATTAATATTTTTGTATTATTAAATGAAAACTTTAATAATTAAATTGTAATGATGTTTTATTATACCTAAATAGAAATAATACCTATATGCATTTTATTATTTATTATAATATTAGTCGTTTTTAATTATTTTTATTATTAATATTATATTAAACATTCTTTTATTCCTTTAATTTTAAAAAATATTTTATATTTATTGCATATATTAATGCAAAAGTTTAATTACCATTCATAATTCAATACCATTATTGACTTGATGTGACACAAATTGTTATTCATTCAACATCAGAGTTTTTAATTTAAAGAAATAGAATATTGATTTAACTTGAGCAGTATATTATAATTAATAAAAGGTGTCATTAAATTAATATCATCTTCCATTAAATGTATAACATTGTTTTCATAAACCATTCAAAATTATGTCTTCAATTTAAGACACCATGGATTTGATAAGATTATTAATTTTTTTAATTGTTGATAATCTGCATTATTATTTTAAGCAAGATTATCTTTAAATTTATACTGATTTTAATGGAAATAAACAGTAATGATTTAATGATAAAAATTTTCTTTTCTGTATTACATAATTTCATAGGCTCGAAATCATACCCGTTTTTCTTTAATTTAATAGGCATTTTTCATTAAAAGCAGTACATTTTTTTTCTGAGTGAGTAAACTTAAGCTATATTAATAAAAATAAATATTATATATTAGGGAAGGTCAGATTTTTTTAGATGGTTTGTATATATATTTCCAAATTGTTCAATTTATAAATACAAGATAACTTTATACAAAAAACACGAAATAAATATAATTTAGATTGGTACAATGTAAATTTACACGGTAAGCTAGTAATGACTAAATATTTAATTTTGAAATATCCAAATCTATACAGTTGTTTTACATATTTATTTATTAGTTATTACTAGGAAACGGATTTATATGGAAATGCATAATTTTATTAAAACAACATTTAAGATTCGATAAAAAATGTTTTAAGTGTTTTGATTTAAATTATTCTTATTAAAATGATGCTTCTATTATTTTACAAATTTTTACATATTTTCGTATAATTACATCTTTTTACATATTTCACTAATTTGTAAATATTTTTAAATATATTTTATCATTTTATCATTTATACGTTTTCTTCATACGAAAATACAAGAAATTATTTCAAAATTAGATCCATAAACTCTTATCACTATTAAAAAATTTTTAAAATTTTATGCAAGACTAAACATTGAAAAATAATTTAATTTTCATCTCAGTGAATTTTTGTTTTATTGCACATACAATTACAAAATAAGAAACAAAAAATATATCATTAAATTATAGTATGCAAATTGTCGAATCAGCGATTGAAAATTTAAAACTTGTAAACGGACCAATAGGATATGAGAAGAAAATTCATGCTGTTAAAAAAAAAAAAAACAATAATCCTGACTATTTTGATTTTAAAACAACCAATGACATAATGAGCAGATATGTTTCAAGATACCTTTCTAAAAATTACTCCTATTACATTGATTGATGTAGAATTAGTGCTCGTCTTGAGGGGGACACAGGGGAACGGAGTACCTCAACTAATTTTCAGAAATTTTAACGTCCCTCTACTATTATTACGCTATAATCGTAACGCTTAGCCAGTTTTGGGGACGTTCTTTTTTTTAAAGTAAATAGAGTCCCCCTTCTTTAATTTTACCAAGTCGAGCAATGTGTGGAACGATCATTTTAGCCGTTTTAAACATATTTTGAAACCTAATAGCGACATTTAATATTTGATAATTTAAAAGAAATAGTAATAATTTAATAATTATAATTATATTTATTTTATTTTTTTAATTAAATTTTTCCCCACATATTTGGATGTTTTTAGCACATATTTTATAAATTATACTTTCATATATTTCTGTATTTTTATTATATATAAATCCGTTCCCTAGTTATTAATAATTTGGTCGATTTCAAACCATATGTATTATAGTTTCAATTATAGATAAGAAAAGTTCAAAAATTACTATAAAAAAAAGTAAATATATAGTAATGAATCACTCATTATGAGTAATCAAATTATTATTAAAAAATTTATTTATAATTAATACTATAATGTCAAATAAGAAAAAATATAATTATAAACAGGGCTTAACTTGGGGGGATACAAGGGGACTCAGTCCCCTATCTACCACAGAGCTTATAAAGCGTCCCATTTAATATTTCTCCGTAAAGTTTACTGAAACACTCAACTATTTGTTAAAAATAATATAACACAATAAAACAGTTAAAAATTGGCTTGGCAATTTAGTTTATGTCAATAAGTGTTAACTTTAGATGTTATTTTGGTATGTTGTTGCTTTACCGGACACCTTTTTTTTAGAATATTTATTTTTTCTGCAAATTATTTATTTATTTAAATTTTGTACGAGCCAAGCCCAATTACATAAATATTAATAATAATAACAATCGCTCGTTAATAGTCTTAAACAAAAAGCGAATAAGAAAGAGAAGAAACAAAAAAAAACAATGATGTATAATATAAATTATAATATAATATACTTATAGCTATGAATTAACAAGTAATAAATTACAATATAACTTGAATGGGTTGAAGTTTAGTGATATAAACATATCGATATTTAATTTGTTAATAGTTTTCATAATTTTAAGATGGGGAGTATTGCTTGCGTAATTAGTTACCTCTGTGTTAAAGTAAAAAAGTAAAAAAGTAAAAAGTAAAAAAGTAAAGTTAAAATAAAAAGTGTTTTTTGACCGAGAGTTATGAGATGGGACATAGAGGGAGAAACTACTTAGAAACTTAGGACAGTCAATAATTCATGTTAAGAGTTTATAAGAAAAATATAAATCTAATCGCATACGATGTTGTTCAAGTGTTTCAATGTTGAGAAATATTTTAATGGAGAGTACGAAGAATGGGGTTCTCTAAATATGGAACATTTAAATGAGAGGAAACGTAAAAATGTATATTGAATTTCTTCAATTTTATGTTTATGATCCGATTGGTATGGAGACAAAATTATTTAGCTATATTCACAGATAGAAAGAATCAAACAGCAATATACTGACTTTAAAGCTAATGAATCATCGAAATCAACACAGTTACGACGGATAAAACCAAGGATTTTATTTGACATGTTAACTATGTTCGTAATATGGCAGTCAGATTTGAGTTTGAGATCAAAATAAATACCAAGGTCTTTAATAGGCCCGATAGTCCGAAGTAGTGGTTTACCACTAAGATTACAATCAAAAAAAGAGACTACTCGAGTTCTGGAAAATGTCATTAACTGGCATTTAATATAAATATTAATAGTAAAATTATTGTAAGTACACCACTCATAGAGATTATTTAAATCGAGTTGAACTAAATCAGCTTAATTTTGATTATTAAATATATAGAAAATCCTTATATCATCAGTAAACATTAATTAATGCAATTTTGAAAATTAATGTTATTAATAAAAATATGGAATAATATTGATGCTAAATGGGACCCTTAAGGAATTCCTGATGTAACATGTATTGGAATAGACCAGAACTCTATGTAAACTACAATTTTCCGACGATTTTCGATAAAGGAAATAATCCAGGATAAAAAAAAAAAAAAGTACAAATATACTTTTGTATGCTGAAAACGATGGTGAAAT